TTGAGGCTGCTGCTTATCTGGACACTCCTTAGTCATATGGCCTGGCCTTCTGCAGTCATAGCAAATATTTTGCCCAGCTAAACATTCTCCACGATGAGGACGCCCACAAGTGCCACACGCTAGGAGTCGTGGTTGGTTAGCCGGACCTGGATGTCTTTGGTTGCCCTTAAACTTCCTCTTGTTCTTGTTCTTGCTTTTTGCAGGTTGGTCCGGCATAGGCTGTACTAGAGAATTGACTGGAACTTTGGGAATTGGCTGAACTGGAACTGAAACTGGACCATCTCCCCTTCTGAAACTAGCATCCACTTCTTGAGCCTTAGTCACCACATCAGCATAGTTCTGAATGCAGTGCCCAACAACATGATGGCGGATTTATCGAATTAACCCTTCTTGAAAGCGCCTAGCCTTCTTGGCCTCTGTGTCTATCAGATAACTGACAAACAATCCCAACCTGGTGAATTCTCGCTCATATTCTCCAACAGGACGATCTCCTTGCTTTAACGCCAGGAATTGACGTTCCATCTCAGCTCGGTAATGAGCCGGGTAGTACTTCTCTTCTAACATCTCCTTGAATTGGATCCAAGTAAGATGCTCCTTCTCACCAGGACGCATGCCCCAGTAAGCATTCCACCATAGTCTTGCGTCTCCAGTCATTTGAAGCTGCGCGCAAAGAATACGGTGTCTGTCTGTGTATTCAGTGATCTCGAAGATAGACTCCAGACCCTGAATACACTCCTCAACTAGTCAAGGATCTCCATTTCCCGAGAATTTCTCTGAACTGAATCCTCGGAATTGGGCAACGACTTCAGCGGTCGTCATTTCTCTTCTACCTTGAGGTGCCATCTAATAAATAAACTTAACACACTCAAAAAAATATTACCAATATGTTATTATTTTAATTGAGCATCTCATATGATAAAATTCGGACATCTAATTCTTATCGAGCATAGACTTAGAAATTTGCATATATTTAAACTTTACAAAAATTCTTAACGACACTTACCTGGTAGTCGACGAGAGTGTGAGCGTGGTGTGGTTGGTTTTCCTGAAAACTTTCTTTTTCAAAACTTAAACTTTTAGTATACAGAGCACTTTGAAACTTTAGCTCTGATACCAACTGTAACACCCCGCTTATCAGAGTATTTTTTTTTAAATTATCTTAACTCGAGATGCTACTAAAACTCATCTTTGTTAAACTAGTATGATAACTTATCTCGTTTATAAAATAAACAAGAAAACTTTCTTAAATAACAAACTTCAAATCACACCAGTTCAAACTTACTATACATAGCGGAAGTCTTTAAGCGTGGCATTTACAAACCGTTGCCTTATTGAATTTCACAAGCACACTTTAATAAACTCACAACTTGATATAAAATCCATTTGTATAAGTGAAATCATAACTTGAAATACAACCGACACCTCCACATCTCAGCTCACACCCTCGGCTCGACCCTGTTACCTGAAAATGATAATAGTGGGACGTGAGTACTAATCAACTGTACTCCGTAAAAACTCATACTAAAGCAATCATTGATAATAATTTCAACATCATGATCATAGGTATATATAAGCTTAAACTGAAATCTCCCGACTCTATGTCGGTAACTGAACTGAATCTCTCGGACACTTGGTCCGTATCCTTGTGCACAATCCAATGAAGGCTGGCCTTCACCAAAACTCGGGATGGCATATTAAGGCTACTGCGCCTCCACCCAAAGCGGATAACTCATATACATACCTTTGAACATGATCTAGCTATTATACTCAATGAAATACCCAGGCTGGGTTCCCACCTTTCGTCTTGAACTGATTGAAAACTGAAAGTGTTGTGCTTGTAGCCAAACTTCTCGCTACATAAAAATATAAACAAACATACTAAGTACTATGCTCGACTATTCTAACTCAACTGACAACTCATCCGAATAATATACATGCCATAGCTCGAATAACATAATACATTGAATAAATCAATTTCTTGATGGACTTTATCCAAGTTACTTATTTAACTCATATGGATCATGTTTCATCAATAAAAATGATGCCTATAAGACTTGTAAGTGAAAATACTCAAATTCACATACAAACTCAAATCAACTCATGATTCATAATTTCTTAAACTTGCTCCTCATAATAATCAATTTATAACTAAAACTTAATTTACATGCTTGCCAATATATTAATATCAAAACTCATTAACATATTAATCATGTAAAAACTCATACTCTTACACTTAATATGAATCATATTAAACTATCAACTTTAAACTTTATCAACTTATTAACATGATAATTCATATGAATTTCTATTGATAACATGAAATAACTACTAACATGCTAACAAATTAACTCATATCTCATACATGATATCAAAATATAACTTATACTAATCATGGCATAACACATAATTGATTCTCATATCAATATAAGTTCCATAAATCATATTAACATGCTTACTATTAACATGTATTTATCTCAAATACAAGAATGAATTACCTCCTTCAAGGACTTGAGAAAATTGAAAGAAAGACTTGATATGAACTTGAAAGACTTGAACTTGAAATTTGCAAGACTTGAACTTTGAACTCCTTTACTCCAAAAGCTTTGCCCTCAAAAATCCTCACTTAACTCTCAATATAACTTTGATAATATAACTTTGGTGTAAAATTTCAAGTCTTGAAGCCTACTATTTATAGGCAAAACTTTTGAATTAAAATATTTAAAATAAAAATCTGATTTCAATCATCATATTGACTATTAACATTAACCATCATCATCATCTCATCAACCTTCACCAATTTCTCATCAACTTTCCAACAATTTCTCATCTAACTATCATCAACTTCTCATCAACTCTTAAGACAAGATTAGTCAACACAAACATCAGCTCAACATTTATAATTGACATATAATACATGAAT